GGATGTGGGGGGGGGGTAGGATGTGGCTTGGGCCACGCAGGGCAGCTTTGAGAAGCCAGATTGGTCCAGCAACTTGAGAGTGGGAAAGATTGTTTTAAGCCAAAGTTTGGGGAGGTTTAGTTTGAGAGAAAGAATAGCAACCCCATGGTGAATCAAGCTGTACTAATACAAATGCAATGGTTTTGTGGACCGTGAAAGAAATTGTGTTCCCTGCTAGCTTTCCCGAATCAGGACACCCGCTTTGTTAGGCTTACACCAGTGTCTTGTCTAACGCAAAGCACTCGGGGTTCCGAAGGTTCGTGGCAGATGGATTCCGCCGGGTGTACTTCTTAGATATAAGTGAGGAAAGATGCTGGCTGTACCGGAGATGTGGTTTTAAAATGGCAGCTAAGGAGGCTGTGGACCGGATCTCACTCCCACCCCATTTTTCATACAAAGAAGCACAGCCGTCAGGTCACATTGTGGGCTCCAGAAAAGTTTTCACGACAGCTTAGGAAACCTTTCTTTGGGGGAAAGAGACTTTACAAAGCCAAGAATCCCCCCCCTCCTGAATCCAACCTGCATCCAGCAACGATCGCCTCTCCTTCGCAGACTCCCAGAGCAGCTACAGCCAGCCAGTGGCCGCGTACAACCCGAGCCAGCCTCAGCGTCAAGTGACCCCTGTCAAGCTGGTCCCAGCGGTGAACACCACCTCTTCCAACTACGGTGCTTACCTGGCCGTCACGACAAGCCAGCAGAACCTCCCGCCGCCCTCCGTCCCGTCGTATGCCCCTGCTTCTTCCTACGCCCCGGCCGCCACCACCTACAATGCTTCCCCTGCTTCCTATGCTGGTAAGAACTTTACGGAGGCAGCCCTCTCTCCCTCCTTGGCCTCTTCCCCTCATCGCCTGCTCCACGAGAGGGAGGGTCGGAAGAAGGGAAACAAAGCACCAGGCCACAAATGGGTCACCTCGGGTCTTGAGAGCAGAGTGCCAGAGCTGGTGGTTGGCATTTCGATGGAGAAAGCAGAGCACTTTGGCTAAGGCAGGAACACTTTCCTTAACACTTCCCCATCTGAGTTGGTGATCTTGGCCTGTACACACCATGAGGGTTTGACGTCACAGAGGTCAACATCCTGTTCTCCCTGCTTAGTTTTCTCTTGCTCTCTTTTTTCTCTCAATCTCCAGCATCAAACTACTCCTCTTACGACACTGGGGCCTATACCGCAGCAAACACCTCCTCCTATTACCAGCCTTCTCAGCACCAGCTCATGCCCCCGCTCCCGCAGCCGCCGCCACCGCAGGCAAAGCCCACGTGGGGCGGGGCGGGGGGCACAAGCACCCACTCCCCTGCCACCAGCAGCTACGTCAAGAAGCCCCCCTTTCCGAGCAAGCCGCCAAAGGCCAAAGGCCCCCCGAAGCCCCCTCAGCTTCACTACTGCGAAATCTGTAAGATCAGCTGCGCGGGGCCCCAGGTGAGCTTGCCGGTTGTGGGGTGGGTGAGTTGGGACTTCAGGAAACTCAGACTCGAGTCTGGAAAAATAATTTTATATTATTTGATGAACAGGAGAATTGAGGTGAAGGGAGTGATTCAGACCCGATTTGCCGGCTTGGCTTTTTATTTGTTTTTGTTGTTGTTGTTGTTGTTGTTGTTGTTGTTTGCCCTAGAAATTTAATTTATTCTAGTGGCTATCTAGTTTGATTTGTTTTTTTCTGATAAGTGATATTGGGCGACTCCCTCAACATAGAGTGAGCTTTGAAGTGAAAACCTATTCGGCTGTGAACTTCCAGACCCTCAGGATCAACATGCCTAGGAAAAAGAAATGCCCGAGGGTTCTCTCAAACTTTCCCCTAAAGGACAGGAGAATTGCTGGCATCAGAACTTGGAAAAAAACAATCTGGGTGTTGTTGTTGTTGTTGTTTTCTTTACTGGAAGGAAAGAAAAGGTGGAAGTGAATTATTTGCACACTAGCATGTGAAGTCAGGGAGTGAATGCCGTGAATGTTCGGTGCCATTTGCTCTCGCTCTCTGTCTTCCCAGACTTACCGGGAGCACCTTGAAGGGCAGAAGCACAAGAAAAAGGAGGCGGCCGTGAAGGCGGGCAGTCAGGCGGGCGGGAGCGGCCCCCGCGGGATCCAAGCCCAGCTGCACTGTGAGCTGTGTGACATCTCCTGCACAGGAGTTGATGCTTATGTGGCCCACATCCGGGGGGCAAAGCACCAGAAGGTAAGGGTGTTCACCGGAGAGACAGGCGATGCACCATCGCCTATGGGGTGGTGTATCTGACGAGCACCCCAAAACCTGTTCTAAGAAGCTCAGTCTTTTTATGTTGTGCTTCTAAATTGGCTCCTGGTTTTCTTTAGAGCCGGGTTTTGTGTCCTGGAAGCAACATCTTTCCTTCCTCTCTTGATTTCCTAGTCCCCTCTCACCTCCCTTTCATGGCCCATGTTAACCGTTTTTCGCCCCTTCACTCTGAGACGGCTCAACTCGTCTCTTCCAGGTCCTCAAGCTCCACACAAAGCTAGGCAAACCCATTCCTTCTGCCGAGCCCACACTGGCCAACGTTTCCTCTGCCTCAGCCAATGGTGTGGCCGGCAAGCCAGTTCCGGACACCGCCCTGGCCTCCGTCGCACCGGCAAAGTCGGCCCCGGGGGTCACTGGCAGCGGCGCCGCCATAGCCTCCAACAAGCCGACGCCGGCCCGGAAGCCACCAAAGCTGGTCTTTACAGGTACATATCAGAGGAGAGGAAAAACTGAACGGGAAGCCCCCGGGGCACACCTGTCCTTAACATTTCCATCTTCCATGCAGGGGAGGTAGTGAAAGTTTCTCAGCCTGAGTTTGGCTGGTGGGGGTGGGGGAGCCTCCACCCTCCTCCCTTGGTGGGCCAGGTTGTTTTCTCCCACAACCACCCGGTATGGCCCCATATCTGAGGAGTGTAATGGGGTTGCCTCTGTTTTCTCCCACTTAGGAGCAGCGGCAAGGCAGGAGCCTATTACAAGACCAGAAGAGGTGAAAGGCGCACCCCCCAAAGTAGACCCGCCTGCGGAAGAGCAGCCCCCACTCAACAGTGTCGGGGACAGCCTGGCAGACCTGCTCGACGTGCAGCCAGTAGGCCACCATTACGTGGAAGAGGTGAGGCTGACCGGGCGGGGGAAGCCCTCCAGAGATCTTGGCTGGGGTGGGAGTCCTTTTTTCCTCTTTCTTCCTTCTTGGCCTGCCCTGTGCTGAGGAACCTTTTTTGGCTCACATCTTCAAGAAGTGGGACTTTTTCACCTAAAGGGATGGAGGGATGAGGCGGAGACCTTGATGTCACCCCCGGAACGTCTCAAATCTCCCACCCCTCCTTCCCCGCCCTTGGCAAGGTTACCTTTTCAGCAATTCCCACACCCGGCTGCTGACTTGTGAATTCCTGGCGTCACTTTTTCAGTGGGGTTCTATGGGGCGGAACCAAGGAGAGAGGAGGGTCCGTATCTTGAACCTGCCTGTTTCCTCCTCCTTCCGACCAGCCGGCACACAGCCACCTTTCCGGTCGTGTGTGTGCAGTTTGGCGAGGCCAGCCCTTTCTCCCTGTTCTT